TCTAAGATATCTTTTACCAGACTGAAGTTTCTGTCCTAATTTTCTGAGAGTATTTTGTTTGTTCATTTGTTTATTTTTGCAATGATGGGAGTGGAACCCAGGGCTTTGTACATTTGAAGCAAGTGCTCTACCCCTGGGCTCCATACTCAGCAAGATTTTTTTCCATGAATGCATGTTGAAATTTAAGCATTTTCCCCCTGAATTTATTGAGATGACCAGTACTAATAAAAGTTCTGATCTAGCTCACTGGAAGTCCATGTTGGTTTGGTAGAGTTAGAGGTGGTGACACAGGTTTGGCTAATGAAACTCTGCATGAGAAAAAGGGGAGGAGGTAAGGAGGTGAAGTATGGGAAAACCATGGCGTGGAAACCTGGAGCCCACAGGGTACGGGAGGCCTGGGGAAGGAATGGATCCCATAGGTGATGACATGGTCAAGCATAGGGGAGACTGCAGTTATGGGACAAGAGGGCAGGGAATACAAAACACTCCTGGACATGGTCTGGCATTTTCCATTGAATCTGGAGGAATCTCAAAAAGGGGGCTAATCCTGCTGCAAAGTAGGTGTGATATAAAATCACAGGCTACTCAAGAGTGCAAGACAGTTCTAAGAAAAGTTTGCCCAGGCTAATGAGGGGTCTTCCAGCCACAGTCACCAGTACAGGAATCCTTCATCCCATAGGAACAGGCCTGCCCTGGAACCTCACATCAAAGGCTATGTGTTAGTTTTATTGTCACTGTGACAAATACCTGAGAGAAACAATTTAAAAAGTGCAAACAGTTTTAGTTCGCGGTCAGCTGGGCCTGTGGCAAGGTAGAAACATCATGGTGATTGGAATGTGTGGCAGAGGCTACTCTCCTCATAGCAGCCAGGAAACAGAGAGGGAGAGGCCGGGGACAAAGTACATCCTTCAAAATCACACCAGTGACCTGTGTCCTCCAAATAGATCTTACCTTCTAATGACCCATTCGGCTATGAATTCATCTATGGATGAATCCATTGATGAAGTTAGCAACCTCATGATCCACAATCACCTCTCGACAGTGCCACCAGCTGGGGACCAAGCCTCTAATGCATGACCCTTTTGGCTAACACTGCATATCCAACCACAGGAGGCTGGAGGTAGCCATGGGGAAACATGGTGGTGGATTGGTAGGGGAAGCTGGGCTGTTGACAACTACATTTCCCATACAGTCTGAGTAGGCTTTCTATGGAAGCCACAGGCCTCAGGGATGCTTCATTTTTTCTTTGCTGACTTCATCCTGGGTATACTGGTGACTGTGAGCCACCTCCCTGAGATGGCTGCACCCATTGCATGTTGACAGAATTGAATTTTCTAGGCCCTATAAATTTGCTGAGGTAAAAAAAAAAAAAAAAACAGCATTAGACCTCTCAGGGGTCAGCCTGAAAGGGGTCCCGGCCCCTCAGAAGACATGCACTTTCCACATCTCCTTGTGGCTGGGAAAACACCCACTTCCCATGCAGGCAGGGGAAATCCTTCTTACCTTGGTCACCAGAGAGCCTGCTCTCTTAGCCTGGACTCCCTTTAGCCTGGACTGTGGCTCCTCCACTCTTTATCTAGGACTGGGAGGGCCATTCTGTTTCCTGTAATGTTACTCTTGGGTTCCTTCTTTGAGGGATTGAAGGGCTCTTGGGGTAGCCAAGTCCTGTCACTCCAGGGCCACACACACCATGAGGGGACGGGGGAGTGAACAAAATGCATTTGATCATCTCTTCAGTAAGCAGAATCCAGAAGGGCAGAGGGAGAGGGAGGGTCCTGGAGAGGACAACAGAAAGATGGCTGGGCCAGGGAGGGGGCTTAGGAACACTCTCTCAGTCACTGTTTTGTGTCCAAGTTGATCCCTTTCTATTGGGAACTTTGTGGGGGAGAGGACCATCCCAGTTATCTGCATTCATGTGAAACCATGGCAAATGGGCCACCTGGCTGGGATCCAGGGACTCCAGACCTAGTGCCAAAAATGCCATGCACTGCAGTGTGGTTTTAGGCAAGTCAGATACCACCTCTGGGCCTCAGTTTTCTTGGCTATCACCTGCTCTCCTCCCATCTACTGTAGCAGAGGACCAAAGAGTAACCATCTCTGGACGCATGAGGGGACCCTTTCCTCGCCTTCCTTTAAAGGGGAGGGTTTCGGGGTTGCTGGCAGCGGACACTGATGTGGAGTCCAGTTCTGGGGATGATGGATCAGTGCCATGGATAGCCTCCTTTCCCTCTGCCACCAGCAGCTTAGGAAATGTGTGTGTGTGTGTGTGTGTGTGTGTGTGTGTGTGTGTGTGTGTGTGGTATGGGGGGTTGACTTCAGGGCCTACACCTTGAGCCAGTCCACCAGCCCTTTTTTGTGAAGGGTTCTTTTGAGATAGGGTCTCACGAACTATTTGCCCAGGCTGGCTAAGGCTTAGGAATCTTGTGGACTTCTTCCAAGCTGAATTTTCTAAACAGCTTATCAGAGGCAGGAGGCATCTGCATGCAGTGCTGAGGGCTGAGGGCGTCATGTCTCAGGCAATATGCAATAGAGGCCTCACTGGCAACAACATGCTGGGGCCGTGTGTGTATATGTGTACATGCATGGCTGAGGTGGTCTAACAGGAAGCAGATTTGGGAGTCACTTGGACAAACCCTGGAGAACTTCCCTCCAGTTTCCAGGAAAGCCCAGTAGTAGCTCTTTGGACCCAGCCCAGGCCAGCTTCCTATTTACAACAGAAATCTACTGTTCACGGTTTTGGTTTTGCTTTCCTTTTACCCTGGCAGAGCATCCTCAGGGAATGGTCAGCTGCATACTCCCTACTTTTTTTGTTTTTCTTTTTGACCTAATGATTTTGTATCACAATACCAACCTGGAAACCCAGACTACTGGGAAAGTGAAACTCACCAGCAGCCTGCCTCTTGCCTCCTGGGCCTTATAAGCACTGTGCACTGGCTGAGATAGGACAAGCACCTGACAGCTTAGTCAGCCTGCAGTCAGATCAGACAACAAGCCCCCTTCCCACTTGCCACCATTTACTTTTACATTGCTGTGATCAAATTCTTGAAAAAAAAAAAAGCTTAAAGGAAGAAATCATTTATTTTGGCTCATGTTTCAGAGGGTTCAGTCCATGGTCCCTTGACTGTGCTTCTGGGTCCATGGGGAGGTAGAACATGGTAGAGGTCCATGGTTGCAGGTGGGAGTGTGTGCCAGGGGAACTTCTTCATCTTATCACAGATAGTTATCAAAAAGCAAGAAAGGACTGGGGACCAAGTATACAAAGGCACACTCCCCCAGTGACCTCCTACTTGCTCTGAGAAGGCCCCACCTCCTAAAGTTCCCAGAGTCTCCCAAAATAACACCACTAATTGGTGTTATTAGCTTGTGGGGCTCATGGTTTCTCTCCCAGACCCTCATCCCTGTTTCTTATTCTGCTTCCTGTCCACCAAGAGGTGAACAGCCTCCTCCTCCACTATGATGTTCTGCCTCACCATGAGCCCAGAATCAACCAAGTCAAAGACTAGAGACTGAAATCAGTGAAACTGTAAGCTAAAGTAAGTCTTTTCTCCTTTTGAAGTTGTTTCTGTCAGGTATTTTATCACAGTAACAAGAAAAGTAATTAATACCTACTTAAGGACTCATAGGAAATGTTCCAAATTGTGGTGCTGTAGGGCCCTTGGTGAAAGCCAGGGGGCTGCCAGGCCCAGGCTCCTGACACCCAGGGCTCTGACACCTGAACCTAATATTCTTTGGGCCCCTCCCCTGGGAGATTGGGAACTGCCATATTTTAAGTAGTTCCTGTAAGATAGAAGATACATACTCATGAACTTTGCAACTTACCAGCAAGAAAATGATCTTACTTCCACTTTGAAAATTAAAAAAAAAAAAAAAACTTAAGTTTCACAGAAGTCACATCACATGCCCAGGATTACAGCACTTATGGGGGCAGAGAGGGGTCCTACTCCAGAGTGAAAGTTGGTTGGTGTCATCCAACCTGACACACTGACCCTCAGCCTGGATGTGGGGTGAGCAGAGGCCTTTTTGGAAGTGTCAATCATTATAATTTTTAGCACAATGGGTGTGACCTCCTTGTACAGCCCCAGGAGATACTGCTAGAGGCAGCCACAACGCAGGAAATGACAGCAAAGCAATGGAGCGGAAGTGTCAGCTCCTGCGTGCACGCAGAACCAGAGATTCCAGGAAATCCCCAAAACCCAAGGTGGCAAGGGTATAGTCTGGCTGGGACTTGTGGGCTGGGGATTTGGAACCGTCTCCTACACATGCTCAGCTGAATGGAACTCACAGGCCTGAATGCGTGGAATCCTACTCAGGCCACTGTACATCCTGGGTGGTCTAAGGATGGCAGACCAAATACTCAGTACTCCCGAAAATACTCCACACCTCAGCAGTCTAGACCTCCGCTCTCTCCCACTGAACACAGCAAAGAGGACACAGTCATTACAAAAGAAAATAAAAAAATACAAACTTTATTTTGATATCTCAGAAAATAGCAAGGACCTAACCACAATAACGACAGTGCACTTTCATGGTTTGAATCCACTTTGGACACACATGTCACTAGGACCTCACAATCATCCTGCAAGGTAGCTAAGATCAACTGGGAGACTCGTGGACGTTACCCAGCTTCCACAGGGAACCCAGTGCACATGGGACGGTATACATTCTGCCTGCTGACTACCTGCTTCTGCCTCAACTCCCAGGGGCTATAGGGCTTCCAGAAGACATGGATGGACACCTGTAGCTTTTCAGCTGTAACATGAGGAGTCTGAAATAAGCACCCCACAGGGGCAAAGAGAGAGGTTTTTCCAGTCACACTATCCTCAGCCCAAGTCCCTACTGGGCAAAGGGTTCAGAAGCAGTCACTGTCCCTGGCCTCCTTCTTGCTGTTGCACCTACTGCCACTGAAAGGAGCAGGTCTGCCCTTCCCGCCTCTGGAGGGGACCATGCTCAAAGCAAGACTCCATCTCCATCTGCCACCCATGCTAGGAAGCCTTCTCCTTTTATGAGCATTCTCCAGTCCCCAGGGCTACCTCCTCAATCTGCCAGCGACACACAGGGCACTTGGCTGTGTCCCTGAAGACTCTTTGGGCACAGGAGCTGCAGAAGTGTGAGTGGCCACAGGGGACAAGACGAGTGTTGGCAGCATGGTGGAAGCAGATGACACACTCCTCTCCTGATGTGCCTGGGAAAAGAGACAACACAAGTTGGAGGCATGTAGGGCCAGGGGTGGGTTCTCTACTCATGATCTGACCAGGACAGTACCTCATGAGAAAATGCTCACAATGTAATCAAGGGAAAAAATTGGGAAGAATATATATACTGTGTATATAAATATATAAATATGTCTATCTATGATATATATACAGTGGCCGCTGCTTATCTGAGCTTTTGCTTTCTATAGTTTTTTTTAATTTTTATTTTATTCATATGTGCATACAATGTTTGGGTCATTTCTCCCCCCACTCTCTATAGTTTCAATCACCATGGTCTGAAAATATTAAATGGAAAATTCCAGGAAAAAGTCATGAGTTTTAAATAATTGCTATTGCAGTCTATTGTTCTAATTGCCCTATTTTATTATTAGTTGCTGCTAATCTCTCACTAGACCTAATTTATAAATTCAGCTTCATTATAGGTATGTGTCTATAGGTAAAAACATTGAGCATAGTATAAAGGGATATATATATATATATAACAAAATTCTAGTTTAGATAAAAGAAAAATAAAGTCCAAACACTTTCCCATATAGACAAGTATATACATCTATGACTAAAAGATACTGGGAGAAAATCCACCCACCCAAGAGATAATGAGTGATTTCAAAGTTTTTCTTCTTTATCTTAGTCTTTTTTCTATTTGGCAGAGCTTTTATGCTTTTACAATGAATGTGAGCTGCTCATGAATAAGCTCTTGTAAGTAGGAAAGTTAGCCAATGTTCTGGAAGTCAGAACTACTAAATTACTTTTAGGTTTTTTATTATTATTATTCATATGTGCATACAACGTTTGGGTCATTTCTCCACTTTTAGGTTTCTTGCAGGCAAAAATCTGGCCCAAAGCCTGTAGGACATCTGCTTGGGGGGCTCAGAAAGATGACTTTGAGCAACGAGTGCTTGGTCTCCCCCACTCCACTCCATTCCACTCCACTCATGTGCACTGGAGTCCTGGTGAACCCACTCACCTTTGAGGTCAGGCACAGCCTCCTCACCCGGGACCATGGGTGTGGCTGGATCTAAGGCAGAGAGCAAGGGGAGGCTCAGAGCCAGAAAAGCAACCCCAGAGGGAGACTCCCAAGCCCACCCTGGCCCCGCAGCAAGTGCCCACCTCCTTTCTTCTTAGGTTACACCACTCTCGCACTCCAGGATGATTTAAAAGCCCTGCCCTGGCCAGCCCTTCCCCAGCTTACCCCAGCTAGGTCATGGGGACTTCAGTTTCTTCCTCTTAGGCCTCCCCTCCCCCCTCTTCTTTGCCTCACTGCTACTGTCTGAGTGGAGCTCCTCAGCAGGCTATGCATGGAAATCATACAGGAGGTAGGAAAACGCGGGTACTGGGTCCCACCACAGACTATCAAACCAGCGGTTCCAAGGCTGAGGCTCTGGCAGCTGTGACAAATGATTTTAAAGAAAAATCTTGAGTGAAGGGGACCACCCACTCAGGATGCTCCTGCTTTTCTGTGCTCCTCTGAAATCTACTCTCCTCCAACTGGCTAGAGGATGGTTCCTGTTTTCCTACCCATGGACCACCAAGGGAGGTAGCCTTCTGGGGAATCCAGAGCTCTCACACTTCTGTTCCTTTTCCTGCCATCTTTGTGCCCAGTGAACTCCTATTTAGACACCAAAGCCAGCCCAAATGTTTCCTTCTTTGTGAAACGTGATCAGCTTTTTAACAGATGTTTGGGGTGCTGGTCATATCTTCATACTGTCCCTTAGAGTCAAGGTTGCCTCCCTATGGCTGGTGCTTACGCATCCAGTGTCTTCAATGCCCATCCTCACTGTAGGCACTGGGCAGGGGTTTGTAGACTAACTGACTGGAAGTGAATGAACGGTTCTTCCGCGACTCTGGGATGTCACCTGAGCCTCCATCCGCCACCCCCATCAGTGTTTGGTCTCCATGGGCTGTCTCACCCAGCAGCTCGATCGCCTTGGTGGTCCCATATACGTCCATCACCGCCCAGAGCGGGGCGCCCATGAGCACGTCTTTCCGCAGCAGGAGCGGGCGGCCGGCATTGACCTTAGCATAGAGCCAGCCTCGGCGGTTCACCCAGAAGCAGACTATGCTCCCGGCGCGCACGCAACCCTCAGGCAGCAAGGACGCCCAGGTCGGGCTCTGCAGCTCCAGGTCGGGGCACACGAAGGGCGGCAGGCAGGGCGCCGAGACGCGCGCGGGATCCAGGCGCGTGAAGCCCACGCGGAGGCCGCCGCACCAGCCGCCCTCCTGCCGCAGAACGCGCAGCGCCACGCGCTCGCCGGGCCACACGGGCCGCTGGCTGAACACGATGCCGTCGTGGAAGGTGGCACACCTTCGCGCGATGCACCCAACCTCGTCCAGATGTACCTGCGCGCCCCTGGCGTCCTCATGGAAGCGAAGTGCCTCTCCCGGCGCCTCGGTGGCTGTAGGACAGGAGAGGATGTGGAGCACGTCAGTGTACGCGTCCCGGGTCCACCGGCTGTCTCCTCAGAGAACTTCCAGCACCCCAGGACTCCAGGCACCCTGAGTCACCTTGACCTCCCCTGGGGGACCATTTCCACTTCCCCCAGCTTCCTGGGGCCATCTCCAATCCACACCACCACCCAGAGCCACCATCCCATACCACCTCAACCCCAGGATCCCTCAGAGCCCCACGCTTAGAACGCAGTGGGGGGCCCCGCTGCCGGCCTTGGTCTGATTTCCACTATGAACTACGCCAAGCGCCAGTTCTCCTCTGAGGATAGTGTGAAAACTAAAGGCCCGCTGCTGTCCCGATCCTGGCTAAACGCAGTGCTGGTAACATTATTACTGCCCGTCCATAGAAAAGGCAGGCTTAGTTGGGTATATATATGTTTATTATACACATATATTCCCGGAGACCTAGAACAAGCTGGGAGGAGCTAGACCAACCGTGACTGCTGTGGTCTGCAATGCAGATGGCCTGGTGATGGCTGGGCTTGCTTCCTCTCTCCTCTGATCTGTTCATTTTCCCACAGGGAACAGGCATCTCTGGGGAAGGGTCCCCCTCACCTCTCCCCAGGTGACATCATGGTCCTGGGAGAGAAAGGGACTCAGCAGCTCCCCAGGGGGCAGGGGTGAAGGCTGGAGAAGAGTCCAAGGACACCCATTGGACTCTTGAGTTGGGTCCAGCCTAGAGCAGGCTTTGAAACTAGGGATTTTTTTGCATGACTTATTTTGGCAACCAGAAAGGAAAGCTCCCTCCTGGGGACAGCATTTCCTCTCAGTCCCAGCCTGGAGGAAGCTTGGGCTTCCTGCCCAAGGCTATCTCTCCCTCTCCGTCACCTTCCCTTTTGAGGGTGGTGTGCTGCTGTGGTCCTACTCCTTCAGGGCTGGGGGAGGGAAGCTGGCCCACTGTTGTCAAAAATAAAAGGAAGTGGACTCAATTAGAACTTGAGCCAGACTCTAGCCAAGTCCCCATACCCAGACACACTCTGACATACATACACAAAGAGATACCTGCCACAGTCCAACAGGGCTGGGGACCTCCACAGGTCAAAAGTAAGCCAATCTGAAATGCCCTTACTTGAGGCATTAGGGACAAGTGCATGGGGGCCTCTGAACAGAGAACCCTTCATATTCATACTCACCCCAACCAATACCCCTGCCCCTGATGTCACCCCTTCCTGGAACACACCCATCTTTCTCCCTATTTGACAGCTGTGCCCAGATCCCTGTTCCTCCAAGCTGCACCTAAGCCAGAGAGTGGCCTGCAATCAGCACATCTAGGCTGGTGCAGCCCCAGGGGTCCTGACATTGGGGAACCCACTGCTGACTTGTTGCTGAAGTATCCAGTCACCAGCATAGGTGACAGGCCATGTCTGATACCCAGGTGGATTCTAGTCCTGCCTTGCTACTGACCCAGGTTGGTCCCTGTCCTCTGGGGCTTTGTGTTCTTATCCACAAATGGAATAGACTCTCTGGCCAGCCAGGGCCTGGAGTCTGTGGGCACCTGCCTGGGGACTCTGAATGTGAGGACTTCACTGCCTACCTGTGTAACCAGGGGGCAGGGGGCAAGTAGGGCTCCCCATGTTACCAGCCAATGCCCACTCCTCACTCTGCTGAGTCACTGCCTGTCCCTGAGGTGCAGACTGGAGAGATTCCTGACGTAGGCTTGGTGAGGGACCAGAGCAGTGGTCCTGGACAAGAGAAAGATTCTGGAAATGGTGACCAGCATTTGTGCCCTGTCCACACCTATCCCCTGAGGCAGGAAAAACCCTCCTGAGAGTGGGTAAGCAGCCAGCCCTGTCCCCATAGCAACCGGGGGCAGAACTAAGGGCCAAGTAGGAGGCTTCCCAACTCAGCCTAGTACAGCCCCAGGAAAGGGTCCGTCCACCTTGGCTGGGGGAACTGGAGATTGGTCATCTCAGTTCCTTGGGCCTAATGGTGGCCAGAAAAAAAACGAGCCCTTCTTGGCCCATTCCACTTCATCCCCATCCCCTGGGCACCCGGTACAGAGATGGAATCCTGGCAGGACATGCTGGGGACTGGGAAGGGAGGCTACACTGCCCCACCCACTTTCTGGAGGGGAGCAAGGAAACTGGCTGGCTGGGAGGCAGTTCAGGGAGGAGAGAAACTCCCTGGGAAGGAGGGGCTCCTCTGTGGGTGCACGAGTTCCTCAGCGGGGAAGGGAGGCCTGAAGACTCCAAGAGGATCAGGCCATGGCCTGGATGGGAGCTTAAGCTCCATTCCTGCTCTGGAGCCTTCCCAGTGACCTGTGGGAACCATATACTCATGTCACCCCAGTTAGAGGAAGGGAGCTGAGGGGACAAACTGCTGTTCAGGTCCCTCAGCAGGTGGCCAAGGCACTTGAACACCCTTCTCCTAGCCGTATGCTCAGGCAGCCCCTTGCAAGGGTATCATCACAGGCAGTGCAACAAAGAGGTCCTTGGGACTTGGTCTCTCCACTCATGCTCCTGTGCAGTCGTGCTGATTGCTGACTGTACAAGGCCCAAGTTGAATGGGGCTGAAAGCTACCCTCACCTTACCAGCCTACTGAGGGTCTAGAGGACTTTATCCGCTCACAGGTGCCCCTTTCCCTCTTTTGCTCAGGGCTCTGCTACTTGAGTTTGGAACTGGGTCACAGTGGCACCAAGGTGTGGATGCCAATCACCACTTTACCTGGCTCCTCTGACAGAGTCTTGCAGGGGTCCTCCCACCCTTTCACAGGGCAACCCAGTACATCCCACTCCTGGGGTGGGGAGTGGTACAAGAAGCCACAAGCCAAATGTGGCTCTCTGAGCAGGCGTGTCCCAGCTGGCTAGGTTGGCACAAGATTCAGAGCACCCTCCCATTCAAAGGTGCCCAATCTTACTATGGGCTGCATTTTCAGTCAGGATCCAGAGGCTCTGTGAAACAGAGTGACTTGCTCATGGAGGACCCTGTTCAATCACCCCAGCTATTTCCAGAGCTTCCCACTGCTGCAGGGAGCAGGTTCATGTACCAGGCTGGACAAGGACACAGCCTGGCTACCAGGAAGTTCAGGAACACAAGTCGTGTCCTTTGGGATGTTCCCACCCCTGGGCAGATGGAGTCAAATTACAGAATCTTTGCCAGAAGGCTCTGGAATTTAAGGGATACAGGGTCTGCCTCCTGCTCCATGAGCCCTCCAGTTAGATCTTCATCAACACCCCCTCCAGTAGTCAAGGCTTTTGGGGTGCCAGGCACCCACACTAAGCCCTCTGCGGCCTCTTGTACTTGGGGGAAGCAACCCAGCTACATGGGGGTATACCAGGCTCAGCTCCTTGTGTCTGGAATCCAAACACAGTTGCTACAGCAGAGGTAACTCTGGATACAGCCTACTGCTGGTATGTGAGCCTTTGGCACCCACCAGGAGACCCTGAGCAGGGGTTCCAGCTCTGCCTCAGATAGGAGGGCAGGTCCAGAGATGAGCAGTGCCAGTCTGAGGACAAAAGATCTGGTTCTCCAGCCCCTGCTGGCCACGGCCCTTCTACAAAGGGTCACCTGTGACCCTCTGAACCTCTGTACCTGATCATCATTTAGGTCTATGAGTTCCTGAGCCCTGTAAGCCAGCAGAGTGGGTTGTATTGTCTTTAGCCTTCAGATGAGGAAATTGAGGCTTGGGGACAAAGTGACTTGAGTATGACAGAGCTGGGACCCCTGTTTTCTACCAGGTCCCCTAAACTGACCTGTTGCACACCTCCACTGCTACTGTCTGCATTACAGGATCTGAGAAGCAGACAGGTTGTGTGGGTTATCTTAGCATTACAGCAGTCCTGGACCTGAGTCGCCCAGCCTCTGCTGGACTCTTGTAGGGACAGGGCACTCACTACCTCACATGGAGCCAGGCTATGGCAGAAGACTTCTGGGCAATGTGACACTGACCACACCTTTATCTCCTGGCGTTCCCACCCCAGCAACGACACAGAGTCTCCTCCACTTCTCATACCCCTGGGCCAGGAAGAGAGTGCAGAACATGCTGGAAGTCTACTTACTGGCCTTGGAGCTGAGATGTGCACCCATCAGCCTGGGATCCTTGGGCACAGGTCCCTGGGTCTAGAAGGAATTGTCTGGAGAGGCTGTGGTCAGGTTTCCAAAGACTCAGCAGGTCCCCTTTTTATGAGCCCGAGATCATATTACAGGGTTGATGATTAATTAGACGTTGTTGTCATGCATTGCAATCTCCGGGGAATTTCCTGATGACTTCTCTTGGCAGTAGACCTGTGGCAGCTGGCTGGCCTGAGAAAAGGAAGCACGGACTGGGGACAGGGTCTGGATAGGTTTTAAGGTAGTCCTCTCTCTGACTTCTCACCATCTGTATCTGGCTGTGCATTATAACTGCCCGAGGCCAGTTAATAAGTACTTGTGCCCAGCCCTGCCCCCGCAGGCCCTGGTTCCATTGACCTGGGCATCAAGAGTATTAAAAAGCATTCTGATAGCTGGGCATAGTGGCTCATAATTGTAATCCCAGCTACTTGGGAGGCAGAGATTGGGAGGATTGCAGTTTGAGGCCAGTTAGGGCAGAAAGTTAGTGAGATCCCCATCTCAAGCAATAGGAGCATGCCTATCGTCCAAGCTATACAGACAGCATAAATAGGAAGATAAAAGTCCAGGCTGGTCCCAGGGGAAAAAAAAAAACCTGTGAGACCCTATCTCAAAGGTTCAAAACAAAAAGAGCTGGAAGTCATGGCTTAGATGGTAGAGCCCCTGCCTAGCAAGAGTGCAAGGCCCTGAGTTCAAACTCACTAAGGGATGGGATTTTCATTTGTTTTTTGTTTTGCTTTCTTACAGTGCTGGGGATCAGAGCACATACTGTGCTCTACCACTGAGCTACATCCCAGCTGAATGCACCAAGGGATGACTAGCCCTGGCACATCCCTGGGGGGAGCTGGATGGTGATGCCCCAGACTGGGCTGGGAAATTGGCTTGGGTGGGAGAAGATGGGAATTTGGAGACCCAGGCTCTGCCCTTTGTGTTACCTGGGCAGCTCTCTGTCCTCCTCTCCTTTGGTGTCCTCAAGTATAAAACAGGAAGCCAGAATGAACTGAAAGGGGGGCCCTTTCAGTCAACATGCTGTGACTTTGCTCTTGGTGAGAGGGAGGTCAGTGACAGCAGCATGGCTCTGGCTTCCTCCAAAGACATTGCTGCAATGTCATGCCTCACCCCTGCCTGGCGCCTCACTTTCTGCCCTAGAAGGAGTTTGCCCATGGTCAAAGGCAAATAGTAAGGAGTCAATGCCAATCAAGTGAGCCCAAGGTTCAGTGATGGTCCTTGATGGTTTTAGTTGGCTCAGTTTCTAACCCTCCTACCCGCTCAGTTTATAGCCCTGACAGGCCCAGTCTGAGGGACCCAGGCTGAGTACCCTCTTCTGCCCTCAGGCCCTCTGACAGCCCCACCAGTCTCTGGGTGGTACTGTATCCCTACTCTCTCCTTCCCCGCCCCAGCTCCACCTGTAACATTGGCTGCCATGAGTTGCTCCCCAGAGCTGGAGCCAAGAGTACTTTGTTGATAGGCCACATTCCCACAAAAGAGATATGTATGGGACCTTATCAGGGAATCAGGTCTGTGGCTTCAACCTGTCTGGAAAATTACTGGGCAAGTTGTGACCTGAAGCCAGTAGGCAGAGAGATGTGGTCCCATTTGCAGGACCTTGATGTGGGGTGGGCACTGCAGCCTGCAGAGGCCAAAATCTAGTTGACAGAGTGCCAAGCCAACCCCACCACTCATGCCCATGTGAATTTATTTAATAAACAGGCAGGGTTTGGGACATGCCAGTCTAAAATATGGTACCTTGTCATTTGAGAAACAGCAGAAGCCCCTCTCTCCTTCCTTCACCCTTCTCCCTTCTTTAATCATAAGACTTCCATCTAGCTGGGAGTCAGGGGCTCACACCTGCAATCCTAGTATTCAGGAGGCAGAGATTAGGAGGATCAGAGTTGGAAGCCAGTCTAGGGAAATAGTTCTTGAGATGCTATCTCAAAAATACTCAATGCATAAAAGAGCTGGTGGAGTGGCCCAAGTGGTACAGTGCCTGCCTAGCAAGTGTGAGGCCCTGAGTTCAAACCCCAGTACCACCAAACAAACAAACAAACAAACAAAGACTCCCATCCATACTTTGAAGACAAGATGGTGGAGAATCAGAAAAAACAGGCCTTGTTATGCTCTGTGCATAACATAAACTAGGGAGTTTATTACCATTAGTTCACACACCTCTTTGTTCAAGCTCACTTCTATACCATAGTGTGTCCACACATACTGTTCACTTTCCTCCAAACCAAAGCAGAAACATACGCGCATTCCCCATTTCTTTGCGTCTTCATTCCTGACACAAAACTTTCATTAAATACACATCTTGTAATCTGTTTTATGTAGCCTGAGTCTCAGGCATGAACTTGGTGATGGGTGAGGAGAGATGATATTTTTCCTCCTCTAAGTCCAGTAGTATACTAATTTGATGGTCCCCATGGCAACTCCTCAGATAAATTCTATTTGTTGTAATTTTTCCCATTTTACAGAGGGGAAAAACCAAGGAATAAAGAGACTAAGCAGCCGGCTCATGCTCACAAGGCAG